CTCTGCATCTGCTTCCATCAGTAACTGGATGAAGTTTCTTTGATAACAATTAGGTTAGTCAGTCTGATTACAGGAGAAGATCAGTTCAGGTACCCTCTCCACTATTGCTAAGGAGTCTTAGCTGGGGTTATTCTTGTGGATTCCTGGGAGGTTCCTGGCAGCAGGTTTCTCCCTAAACACACAATGGCTCCCTTCTATCAAGATATCACTTTCATTGCTCTCCCTCTCTCTCCCTCCTCCAACTCAACATCCTGATCCCTCATCTTCCCATTCCTTCTCCCCTCCCCTCTACACTACCCCCAGTTAACCTACGAGATCTCATCTATTTCCTTTTCCCAGGGTGATCCATGAGTTTTTCTTAGGGTCCTCCTTGTTACCTAGTTTCCTTAGGGCTGTGGGTTGTATCTTGGTTATCCTTTGCTTTACATCTAGTATCCACTTACGAATGAGTACATACCAAGTTCATCTTTCTGAGTCTTGGTTACCTTACTCAGGATGATTTTTCTAGTCCTATCCATTTGCCCACAAATTTCATGATGCCAATTGATTTTTTTTTACTCCTGAGTAATACTCCATTGTGTAAATGTACCACATTTTCTTTATCCATTCTTCGGTTGAGGGACATATAGGTTGTTTCCAGGTTCTGGCTATTTTGAATAATGCTACTATGAACATAGTTAAGTAACTGTCTTTGTGGTATGATTGAGCATCCCTTAGGTATATGCCCAAGAGTAATATTGCAGGGTTTTGAGGCAGATTGATTCCTAATTTTCTGAGAAACAAACAGGCTTTTAAGGCATATTCTTAAAATAAAATATAATAAGATAAACCAATATATTGCAATAAGACAAAAACAAATAATAAAAAATAAAAACACAAACAACAAAAAAAGTAAAAGAGCCCAAGAAAAGGCACAAGAAACAAATATAGATGCAGAGACCCACTCCTTTGATTCTCAGGAGTCCCATAAAACACTAAACTGAAGCCATAATATGTACACAAAGAACCTGTAGGGTAAAAAGAGAGGAAAATATATAAATAAAATAAAAATAAGATAAAGACCCAACTCAACAACCAGACATAACATTATGAGACAAGGAACCTCCAAGGATGCCATTGAGGTCATTTTTTGTCAGCCATCTAGTTCTGGGTATGCAGCCTACCCTTAAGAGGACTTTGTTTCTTCTATGAGAATCCCTTGGAGAAAATAAATTTTCATTTGCAAGTAGTTATCACTTGGAGCTAGCTTTTGGTTTAGAGATGAGGTCATTGTCTACGTCTCCTTCAGCTCTAGGACCCCATTCTGTGCAGACCCGTGCAGGCTCTGTGCATGCTGCTCAATCTCTGAGAGATCCTATGTATATCAATTCTGTTAATTTAGAGGGCCTTGTTTTCTTGATGTCCTCCAACCCCTCTGGCTCTTACAATCTTTCTATCTTCTCTTCCACAGAGTTCCCTGAACCCTGGGGGGAGTGGTAGGTTTGATGGGGACATCCTATTTAGGGCAGAGTGTTCCAAGTCTCTCATTCTCAGCATAATGTCAGGCTGTGAGTCCCTGTATTTATTCCCATCTGCTGTGGGAGGAAGCTTCTCTAATGGTACCTGAGCAAGGCACCAATCTATGAGAGCAGCAGAATGTCATTAGGAGCCAGCTTATTGCTACTATCTTTTAGTAAAACAGTAGTTAGCTTTACCCTAGGTCCTTGGGCCATCTAGTCTCAGGTTCTTGGTCATCCAAGCATTATCAGGTATGGGTTCTATCTTGTGGAATGGGCTTTAAGTCAAATCAGATGTCGGTTGGTTATTCCTACAAGCTTTGTGCCACTATTGCACTAGCAAGGAGGGACACCATGGTAGATCAAAGGCTTTGTGGCTGAGCTGGTGTTTACATTTCTCCTTGGGAAGTGTGCTAGCACATAGGGGTAGAGGCTCTATGTAGGCACCACTCGACTTGGCTTCTCCATATTTAGTGAGTTATGCAGGTGTTGAGTTATGTAGGTGTTGCCTTCGGCAATGGTTCCTTGCTGTCAGTTTGTAGAGAACAACCTTTAGTCTTGGCAACAACCTGAGTTGTCTGGGGACCCCTTTGGCCAACAACTTAACTAGATGTAACCCAATTCCAGCACTGGAAGTACTTCATTTTTTAAAAAAATTTTTTTTTAAAGATTTATTTATTTATTATGTATACAGAAGAGGGCACCAGATCTCATTACAGATGGTTGTGAGCCACCATGTGGTTGCTGGGAATTGAACTCAGGACCTCTGGAAGAGCAGTCGGTGCTCTTAACCTCTGAGCCATCTCTCCAGCCCCTGGAAGTACTTCATTTGACAAGAGATGTCCAGTTGGAGCTCTTTCTCTTCCTTTATTTGATGATTTCATTTAGGTTGCATATATGTCTACTTCTAGTGTATAAGGTTTCTGTAAAAATCCCTCACATGGCCTTGAGTTTTAGCTGTCTCTCCCTGTGTTCCCTCACTCATCCTCCTTTTTCCTGTTTGATCCTCCCATTCCAGTTCCACCTCATTCATCCATCACTATTCTATTTCCTCTTTCTAACAAGATCTATCTGTATCCTTTAGTCCCTTACTCTATACCCAACCTCTGTGGTTATCATTGACTTAACAGCTAATATCCACATATAAGCATGAATATTGAGAATTGAAATGTCCTCTTGGTGGATTTTTTTTCTTTGATGAGTATGTTGTGTCCTTTACTATCTCTTTGATTAATTTTTGTTGAAGTCTATTTTGTCAGATATTAAAATGGCTATACCAGCTTTCTTTTTGGGTCTATTTGCTTGGAATATCTTGCCCTATCTTTTTACCCTGGATGTCTATTTTTTTAACTAAATAACTACTTGATCAATTAATTATTATTTTTGGGTTTTCTAGACAGGGCTTTTCTGTATAGCCCTGGTTGTCCTGGAACTTGTTCTGAAGACCAGGATGACCTTGAACTCAGAGATACAACTGTCTTTACCTTCCAAGTGCTGGACTTAAAGGTGTGCACCATCACTGCCCATTCTTGAAGTTAAGGTGTGTTTTCTTGGAGGCAGCAGAAGGATGGGTCCTGTTTTTTGCAACCATTCTGTGTCTTTTTATTGGGGAATTGAGACCACTGAGGTTGAGAGGTTTCAATGAGCATTGTTTCTTGATTCCTGTTATTTTGCTATTGCGGTGTGTGTGTGTGTGTGTGTGTGTGTGTGTGTGTGTGTGTGTGTGTGTGTGTTTCCCCTCTTTTGATTTACTGGTCTGGGATTATTTATTTCTTGTGTTTTCTTGGGTGTGGTTAACCTCTTTAGGTTGGAGTTTCCATTCTGGCACCTTCTGTTGGGTTGGATTTGTAGGTGGGTATTTCTTAAATTTGATTTTATCATGGAATGTCTTATTTTCTCCTTCTATTGTAGTTGAACATTTTTCCGGGTACTGTAGTCTGGGCTGGCATCTGTGGTCACTTAGAGTCTGCAGCACATTTTTCAAAGCTCTTCTCACTTTTAGAGTTTTCATTTAGAAGTCATGCATTATTCTAGTAGGTTCACCTTTATATGCTATTTTATCTTTTTTCTTTGCAACTTTTAATATTCTTTATTATGTAGGTTTAATGTTTTGTTAATTATAGGTAGAGGAGACACTCTTTTCTGGTCTAGTCTCTTTGGTGTGTTTTAAGCTTCTTGTACCTTAATAGGCACCCAGTTCTTTAGGTTAGGGAAATTTTCTTCTATGACTTTGTTGAAAATATTTTCTGAGCCTTTAACCTGGGTGTCTTTTCTTTCCTCTACTCTTAGTCTTAGATTTGGTCTTCTCTTAGTGTCCTAGATTTCCTGGGTGTTTTGTACCAGGATTTTTGTAGATTTAACATTTTATTTGACTGAGGTATCTATTTCTTCAATCATGTCTTCAATGTCTGAGGTTCTCTCTTCCATCTTTTGTATTCTATTGGTGAGAACTGCCTCTGGAGTTCTTAAATTTTTCTTTTTCAGATTTCTTTCAGTTTGGGTTTTCTTTATTGATTCTATTTCCACTTTCAGGTATTGAACTATTTTATTCATTGCCTTCCACTCTTTATTTTCTCATATTTATTTAAGGGATTTATTCATTAGCTGAGATATAAGGAGACTACAGTTAGGTGACAAAACTGTGAGGCAGTGAGAACTTTTACAGAAAGAGTGACGTCTCTGCCACTAACTAATTGAGTTCTCTTAAGTTGCACAAATTGTCTATGCCCAAGGTCCTCTAAAATATGAATGATAATACCATGTATATTGGGCTGTTGTGATGCCTACAGCTTATTTTTATTCCTAAAACTTCAGTATTTATAACAGCTGTGTGTGTGGTTCAAATGTGAAATGTCCCTCATAGACTCGTATGTTTGGACACTTGGTTCCTCCTTGGTGACACTGTTTGGGAAAGTTATGGAACTGTCTAGCCTCTCCCCAGAGTCAAAAGACCCTGATAAATCACCAAATGGCATCACCATTACCTTTAGCTGTGATATTTGAGCCCTCAGCTGGGATGCCCTAAAGCTAGAACACCCCTGTGACTTCCAGTCCACATTAAGTGGAGCTGGGTTTGGCCTTGAGGGTCTGCATTCCAAGGAGACCAGAACCTTGCTTTACTGCTTCTCTCTTGCCTGCCTACCCCAGCACCCACACCAGCCAATACTCCTACCTCTAATACTCCAACACCCTCTATCTTCCCAGTACCCTCAACACCCCTTGGACCCCTTGGTGGCACCTGTCACTAAGGGAGGGCTTTGAGGTTTTATGATCTGGTCCAGCTTGTTCTCTCTCTGCTTCCTGAGTGTGAATGCAATGTGATCAACTGGCTTCCCTGCTTTCCCCTGCTGTTAGCACATCTTCCTTGCCATTATGGGCTTTCTTCTTGTAGAACCGTAAGCTAAAATGAGTCCTTTCTCCCTCAACTTCTCTTCTCCCAAGTATTTTTATCACAGCCACAGAGAAGAACCCAATACAATCTATAAGGAAGCACATCTTGGGTTCTTAAGAAAAAGAGGTGAAAACTTTATTTAGGCTGATTTTACTGTAATTTTCTTATAAAATAATTTTATAAAAGAGTCCATAAAGATATTATATAGAAAATACACACTAAGGTAATATATACACTTCATAAAAATAGAATACATCTTGACAATTGCTTACAGAGTCTGTTACCACCATGTACAGTGTATTGACGTTTAACATGTTAACTTGAACATATATGATTACAAATAATCAAGAAATCTCTTCTATTGATATGTCTTAAAATAAAAAATATGGAATGTAAAAGTTATGGAGCTGAGTGAATAAAAGTTTATATCAAAATGTCAAAGACCCATGGCATGGGTGATTGTCTAAAGGGGAAGTAACTTTCTGATAACATAGTAAGAGGTTCAGATAAATTTCACAAAATCACTGGGACTATATCTTGAGTATTTAATCATGGTAAGTTCCATGTAGGATCAAACAAACTTATATCTGCACTATACTTCAGAAATACTGGTGTTTCTCTCTCTCTCTTTTTTAATTCTTAAAATTGAAAAAAACTTGAAAGGAGATATAGAAGTCTTATATCAATATTTTAAAAATCTTATATTATGCCATAAGCTTTTATCAAAACACATAAAAACTGGTTTTATGCTTCTAAGAATAGCCAAATGCTCAGAAATCTATTTGAATTACTTTTTAAATATTGTTTCCAAGAGAAGGATCTTAGCTATTATGCTATACACAACATCACTGCTGTGTCCTGTTACATGATCAGAATAATCTTTGGGAAGTAACTGCTCCAGTGTAATAAATAAAGAAAATAATGAAGGACTCCACTAGACCTTACTGGAAGATACACGACTGTAGTGGGATCATACAGATACCTCAGCAGTACCAAGGAACATGCAGATAACAGAGTACAGCACCATTTTCAAGTTGCTGAGATTGCAACTGTTCAAGAGATAGTAAACTGTAGGGCTCCTTGATTGCCATGATTAACGAGGTTGAAATATCTGGACTAGGTTCTGGAGTACTTCCTAGTATGGGTAGGCAGACACAGATATATAAACTATGAATGTGGTCTGATACTCAATGGTCCCATTGGCACTGTAGGATAAAGCTCGAACCTTCATGCGATAGGTCTCTGCCTCTCGTAGTGGACGGGTAGTGTACACTACCCCTTTCAGGTTTTCATCCCTTAAGGCAAAAGGAACAGCTGGTTCCTCATCTACCATGAGGAAAGTTGTCCTGGGATGCATCACTCCATCCTCTGTGTATGCAACCAGCCGGATTAAATCTTGATTGGCAGCTATTCCAAATGGGAGAGAGACAAGTTTATATTCCAAGGCATATGGGCTCAAGGTACATTCCAAGTCATTGGGTGGGCAGTTCTTGAGGCAGAACCTAAGGTTAGAAAATAAATGAGACACACATTTAAGTAAATGGTTATATACCTTGGAGCAGGATAAGATATGACATAGGTGATCTCGATCCATGGTGACTCTCAGGAATTTGTTTACTTACAAAATGTGGCTCTCCCATGTCCTAGATCACTAACTCAAAAGAGATGCCAGGTAGCTAAGAGACTAGCATGCTCTATAGTTAAGTATCAATATCCTTGCTCTATTAAAACCAGAAGAGTTGGAGTTCCTGAAGTAAGCAAGAATACTTTAGTTCTTTTTTGGTGGGGTGCTGGGATTAGATGAGGGCCTTGTGTACACTAAGTACATGCTCTACCACAACTCCAACACAGTCCCAAGAGCACTGACCTTAAAGTAAAAAGTCAGTTTCACAAACAAAAAAGCATTAGATGTATTTTGGAAACAAGTGCTTCTTGAGACAAGACCATAAGTTACATCATAACATTTATCTTAATGCTGGTTGGAGGTTGTTGAAATAGGATGTATAGTTATTTGGTTCCTTTTTCTCAGAACAATTAAAGGTCACTTAGGATTTCTAGGGGAGGGTGTCTTCCTTTTCAACTTTTGTTTCATATTATTTTACATTAAAATGATTTTCCCCTTTCAGAACTCATGCTGAGTCATAATGACATTTAAATTATTTTTTTTCTAGAAATCTAGAGGGAAAAAACCTCACAAAGGACTATTTCATGAAAACATACTCTTTAGTCATAGCGTTTTTAAAGACACATTGTAAATCTATATTTTTTAATTCTCTCTTTCCTTTTTCCATTCCTATTAATCACAAACAGGTTTATGGAGGGTTCTGGGCAACACACACACAGTCATGCTACAGTAACTTGAGGCATTACTAGGAGGAAAAAAAGAATGAGCTCCAGTGAGTATTTGGCAAGGGGCAGAGACTGTCTACGATGAACATTATCCCTTGCTTTCAAGTTTCCAAGTTACCTTGGTCCTTGGACAGTGTGGGGAAAAATTTTAAGCAGTTTATTCAGAGCCAAGAAGACAGTCAGACACCTGGAAATGTAAGGACGATATCATCGATGGGCAGACTAGTGACTCACCCTTGTCTCTCTCCTTCTCTTGCTGCGTGGTGAGTCACCATAGCAACAGAAAAGGTACGCCTTTGACCAGTCTACCTGGTGACAGTTCTTACCAGCTTGAGGCAGTACAAATGCAAGTAGGGAATCTTCAAAAAGGCAGGCTCTGCACCCCACAAAATGTTTGCTGTTGTGGGAGAGCCCTGGACCCCACACTGTGACTCCATGGTGGAAAGCCTCATCCAGGAAGGCTTGGCAATCACAGATGACGGTTTGGTTTGCAGGGGAAGCTGCCTAATGAGTTCATCTCTTGTGCATTTATAGAAGAAGGAACACATGGTCAGCCTGCATTCCCTCATGGTTACTGATTTCCTATGAGTTCAACATGACTGTAGACAAACAGAGGGTTTCCAGGAGCATGTCTGGAATAGGAAGGTGAAGCATACCCCAAAACAGGATCCCGCTGGTAGTTGGGCGGACAGGGTGTGTCAATGCACTGGTAGCTTCCTCTCATGTTGAAACACATGCGATTCGGCCCACAGCGCACGTTCTGCTCCAGGCATTCATCAACATCTAGGGACCACACAAGGATACAGGGCATCATTAGTTGGGGTCAAGAAGGGCTATCGTAGCAGTCATTAGTATTTCACTGGGATATAGAGGCAGTTCTCATACCTTAGTCCTCCAGTGAGCTTATTTGTCATATCTAAACTTCAGCCACAAATTGGGGCGTGTGACTCCCAGTCTATTTATTTCCCTGACTGTTCTGAGGACACGTTTCTCTAGTATATGTTAAAAGTCAAAGGAACATAAGAGCTGCAAAAGTAAGAGCGTAGCTTTTAAGAGCGCTCATGTGCCTCTTCCATTTGAAAAGCAGAATACACGTGAGTTTGTCAAGCAAGTAATATTTTAAATGCACGTTGACCAAGCCAAAAAAAGGGGGGAGGGGCATGTGAATACTTTGCAAAGTGAAGAACCTTTTTATAGTATGAGCAATTCTTGTACTAGAAGTTCAGATTGTAGGGAGGGAATGAAGACAGTACAAATGAAAGGATTCATGCTGCAAACCCACAGGACACTGTTAGGTAAGTTAGCTCTTGAAGAGAGAGATAAATTATAGAAAGAAAACCTCAAGATTAAATAAACAGCCCCCCCAGTCCAAGTTTTATCAAATGGAACAGAAGTGACTTGCTCTGGCAGCAGAGTCCACCCCCAGCAGTGTGGGATGGGAATGCTTCCTGGAGCAATGGGAAAAAACGGCAGAAACAGGCAAGTAACAGACATTGTTTTCTTTGTGGTTTCCTCACGGAGTTATTAAATGGAAACACTGATGTAATAAAACAATTTTAAAGTAACACAGAACTGAAGGAAACTTTCAAGCTTTCTGAAAAGGTTTTTGTGCCATAATTCAAAGCTGGGTTTGTAATTGAGCACCAGAGGATGAGAGGTCCGGGATTAAGAGAGATTTCTGAATGAGCATCCACAAAAATCCAATAAATACTTTGAGGTATTTTTGAGACCCTAACGTTATTATTTTGCTTAATCTTCTCACTGTGGCGATCTGAACCTGCCTGGTGATACATGAGGATTTCCACCAGTATGAAGGCAGGCAAGTATTTCAGGTAACCAATTTCATCATTTCCCACAAGTTCACCCTGCCCACAACAATCTGCCTGAGAACTTCATGTTCTGGAGGGTTTCTTCCATAACCTTCATTTACTTTCCCGAGAAAGGCTGCGTGAATCCTTGAACAAAACTATGTTCTTTTTTTACAACCAGTTTTCTTACAATAAAGAATCAAGAGTGTGAGCCGAGCAATGGTGGCGCACGCCTTTAATCCTGGCACTTGGGAGGCAGAGGCAGGCAGATCTCTGTGAGTTCAAGGCCAGCCTGGGTTACAGAGTGAGTTCCAGGAAAGGCGCCAAAGCTACACAGAGAAACCTGTCTCAAAAAAAAAAAAAATAAAAAAATAAAATTAAAAAAATAAATAAATAAATAAAAATAAAAGAATCAGTGTGAAACACACTTCTATTTCAGTAGTCATGTCTATTATCTGTGAGTCAATTTTTAATTATGTTTTTTTATCCTATGAATATGCTATATCTCTTTGACAAATTGAGGTTGTCTTAAAGATAAAATAAAAAGACCTTGAGGAGAATGTGAAAGAAATTCAGTTAGGCTTCCCCCCCCCCCCAACTTCAAAATTTCCCTTTGTCTCTGACTTTGTATACTGATCTGATGCAGAAGCATGGAGACCAGTGGCCTGTGGCAGCCATAAGAATTGTGTTACAGGGGCAGTGTGTGTGTGTGTGTGTGTGTGTGTGTGTGTGTGTGTGTGTGTGTGTGTGTGTGTGTGATAAGAGCTGTTAGTATCCTAGAGTTTCATTGCTTTAGGATGGGTCTAGAAAGATGCATAAGAACTTGTAAATACATGTGTTTGACATGAAAGCTGAGGGACTATTGAGGGGGGATCAGTGAAGGAAAGGGAAGAGAGGTGAGGCAAACATTGATGGGAAAACATGAGCAAGGTGCAATGATATATTTTCATGAAAACATCATAGTGAAATCCATTATTTCGTACACTAAAATTAATAAAAATATAAAAAAATTATTGAATTATTTCCTAAACACAAGAATTATCCATATTTTCCCCACATTATACATTCAGTCTAAACAGTCAAAAGTTAATATCGCCTCATAAATGTTTGTATTTTACAGAGGTCTTTGGATGCTTCAAGCAAATGTGAGAAGTGTTTATTGGTCTGCAGAACTATAGTCTGTGTTGAGGAAAAAACATCTGTCTTTAGTCTGTAATAATGTCTGCTTTCCATAGGAATCTTTGTAAGCACTATGCTATTAGGCAGGTGACCCTCCTTTATCTGTGGTCTACTCACTGTTCTTAAAAAAGGAAGGCAAAACAAAAACAACAACAAAAAGGACAAATAAAAACAGAGAAATAAGGCAGAGCATGATGGCATACCCATGTAATCCCAGCACTCGGGAGGCAGAGGCAGACGGACCTCTGTGAGTTCCAGGCCAGCCAGTGCCACACAATGAGACTTTGTCTCAAAGAAAAATTAGAAGAATAATACTCTTGTCTTCTATAATGGACCAGGTGATGATATCCAATAAACACCATAGGAATATTACAGGAGAAACTGAAGTGGAGGCAATAATATAATCATCTCTCTTACAAGAAAAGAATGACAACGTGAGCTGGAAAGATTTCATATCAACAACACTAGAAAATATGATTCATTTAAGCAATTGCTTCCAGATACTTTAAAAATAATCAAGGTTAAATATACATCTATACTATAGAAAGTATGAGTAACCTGGACTCCTGGTAATCATGCACTATTTCTTAAAAAGCATAGAAGACAGAACTCCTTTCAAATTCAGTGTCATTATAACATTAAATTTTTCTTCTAAAAAGCATTTGCTTTTATCAATAGTTTTCCAACAAAGCATTGTTTGTCATGTATGAAAGCCTATTTGAGTTTTCTTTTTTATTTAATATTTGTGTCGCATAAAATCAGGCTGAGGTTTTTTTTTTAGTTTCTCCTCACTGTTCCTCAAATCTGGATTGGTCACACTTTTTGTATTTTTTAATTTTATAGCTGATGACTTGTACTTTTGACAGACTTCTCTGTCTTTGTCCCCTCTGACACTGTTCACTGTAATTTCCTACTGACAAGGCCATAGCATAAAAAAAAAAAATGAAAATCATCCCCCATGAAAACCAGCCTCTTGCTGCTTGTGAATGCCTCCAACACTTTCTAAAGCTCTAAAGAGACTCCCAGTTATTCTTTAGAGTAAGGAATTCTTTAAAAGGCAGAAATGTTTTCTCTCGTGGCCTTTTAAAACCACAAAAGTATGTAACCCGTTTAAATTGCAAACGCTTCCATGACACCTGTTTCTGATTTGCTCACAGCATTTTCCACTCTGCAGCTCAAATGCAAACTGAAAAATGTTTTGAGCTAAATGAGGGCAATTAAAAAAAAATGGCAAGATTTAGAAAAGAAGAAAAAATCTCTCTAATGAGCGTATCATATAACCCTTTAACTTTGCTTAAGGGATTTTGTGGTTCAGTTGATAATTCTAAATGCTTTGGTATTTGCCCTGAGTCCTTTGGTGCCCGAGAGATCTGTAGGAAGGATAGTGGTAGTTTGGGCATTGGTGCTTCTTCTTCTTCTTCTTCTTCTTCTTCTTTTTTTTTTTTTTTAAAGTTTGAGACAGAGTCTCATGATGCAGTCCTGGCTGGTCTCAAACTCACAGTGATCTGCCTGCCTTTGCCTATAGAGGACTGGTATGAAAAAGCATTTGCCACCAAACCTAGTGACACTGGTGTTCTTTTAGAAAGATGCCTGGGCTGAGTCAGTTCCAGAGCATGGAGAGTCAGCGCTTAAACCCCCTGCTCCTGGGTGTACTGCCTGCAGTGGTCACAGCACCGTAGGAAAGATAAAAGGCCATGGGAGAATATACACTCTAAGGTTTGGTCTTGACTACACTCGGATATGGGGGGTTCACATAGTTACCCTAGGTAGTAGTTTTGTATACATTTGTATACATGACTGGAAACCCCACGGATGCTGCTGACTCAAGTTATTTGTGTAAAGTATATTCCTGACAAAGTGCAGTGATTGATGGATGGGAGTAAAGGTTTTACTGAGTTCAGACGTCTCCAGCCCCAGCGTCCTAAATGGGGAACCACAGACAGTGTGAAGAGTAGGGAAGGGGATGCCTCTTGGTACATGAGGTAAAGCCATTCTGGCTACAGGTCTTGGTTTCCAGGCCACATCTACAAACTGCATTTCAAGCAAGTCTTTTGTGGAGTCAAAAAAAGGGAAAATTTAATCTCCATTTTATTGCTACTGATAAAATACTCTCTTAAAGAGTTTATAGGTGTACTTTTCAAAAGGATATAGTTTGTATATGACAGAAATTAAAAAAATCAGAGACATACATCATGCTTAGATTTTGTTCATAAAATTGAGGGAGATTCTCAGAAGAGATAAATGGGCTATTTCTTTTTAATCTAAGTATATTTTGCAGTATAATACATCATGAAAGTGCCATTCTCTTTTCATATTTTTCACACAAAACAGGGAAAAGTGGCGACTGGTATTTTTCCTTCCCATTTTCACTCTGCTTTGCGCTCAACCTCACTATGGAACCTGTAAATTAGTATTTTGATTTATTTACATTTGTTTGCATTAGAATGTAAGCTCCTAAAGGGAAGGACTACCAAGTCATTTGTTTTCATCCTTTACCTCCAGCAGAACTAGTATATGATTGTGAGTCTTCATTTGTAGGGTCAAAGAATGACGAGATTATTGCCATTTCATCACGGATAACCCTAGAGATCAATCTAATGGGAGAAAATCGAGTGGCCCCTCCCATTGTAGTCAGTATACTAATTATTCCTCTCATTTCCCCTGCCACCCTAGTTAGCTGGTGAAAAAGTTAAATTTTTAAAAAGACGTGTCCCCTTTAAGTGGGAAAGGTCTCGAATATGAACGGTGTCAATGATTCTTCAAGGAAGACCACCAAGTATGTGCCCCCATTATTTTCCTTCACTGAGCCACCTCCCTCTTGCTTTTCCCACTTGCAAAAGTATTGTTTAGCTACACATCTGAGCAACGAGTATGGAAGAAGAGGAGCAGCCAGGGGTTTGGTGATAATTATTCACAAAATCTTCTCATGTTTTCCACATTGTTTTTAATGTCACACTGGAGCAATGAGCATTCCAGCCTCTTCTCACCTTGGCATGTTTTCCCGTTGAGCATGAGTCGATAGCCTGGCGGACAGACACACTGGTAGCTTCCGATGGTGTTTTTGCACTCATGTTGGCAAGTATCTCTGTTTTGACATTCATCAATATCTGTTCAGAAAGAAAGCAGAGTGTACGATCATGCCAAATGTTAAGCAGAATCTGTGACAGAGCCATCAATACCAGTGGCTGACATAAGATACATTTCCTGCTGATTTTACATTCATGCTCTTAAAAGTGCTTAGAGCTATTATACATCAAAGTTTGTTTTTAGTGAAATAAATAACTTCGTTACAATATGCACCACACTATGTTATAATGTACGAACATTTCTTTATCATCTTATATGCACAAATATGAGCTGAAGCCTCAACTTTGCCATTTTTTCTATGTGATGCTAAATTGCATTAAAATACAGGGGTGACAGATTTGTATAGGATCCTAAACCACCAAAGAACTGACTTTGTGCTAGAAAGGTAAAATTTGCCTGGAGGTTTCTTTTTATATTAAATGGAAAAAGAGCTATCCATTTAAAAATGATTATTTTGTATGCATGAGTGTTTTGTCTACATGTTTGTTTGTGTATCATGACTGTGCACTGTATATGGAGGCCAGAAGAGGGTATTGGGTCCCCTGAGACAGGAGTTACGAACTGCTGCAAGCTGCCTTGTGGACGCTGGGAATCAAATCCAGCTCCTTTGGAAGGGCAGCCAGTACTCATAACCATCTCTCTAGCTCCTGTTTTTTTCATGTAAGCTTTAGATGTCAGTCTCTCTGCATCTTCTCCCTACAGCTTCTATACATAGCTTTTCCATATGCAGGTATTTTCAGGTGGAAATATTTCCATATTTGTGAGAAATACTTCTCAATCTCTTTATATAATGGCTAAGTGCTAGTGGTAAACACATGTCTACAGCTGTGCTAAGCTGGACCGCCCCTTTAACGTCTCAAAGATTTCAGTCAATTCTTCTGCCAGAAGGAAACATAGAGACCACCTATTCTGTGTCATTGGGTTTGTTGGAAGATTCATGCACTGCAATAAATGGGAAAACATTTTATAAATCACAAGGGAGGTGCCAGCTATCATTAAATTGAAAAAATATCACACACACATTAAAAGTACAGTGAAAGTAGATGATAATCCAAATTCAACAATTGTTTTTGTATTCCAGTTGCGGTTTGGGTGGATCATCTCTTTCATGGTCCCTGAGTGTACACTAACCAATGGAACACTGAAGAATATGGCAAGAAGTAGGAACAGGAATGCAGAAGTGTAGAAATAAAGAAAAGACAAAGTGAGGCCTGGGAGATGTCTCAGAGCAACTGGATTTGTTCTTGTTGTGTGCTTTGCACATGCTAAAAATATAATTGCAATGATTCAAAATCTGTTAATGATACATATTCAGCAAATATTCACTTCCCATGTTTATGCATCATTTTAGCTAACCAAAGTATTCATTTCATAATTTGTGTGAGTTATTTTTGTCTTTCCTCTTTAAATATTTGCTTTAATCTAAAACAACAATAGAATTTCAAATGTCTTTGAACTGCAAGTCATTAACATGGAGCTTCACAACATATGAATTTTAAAATGGCCAAGTGTGACTTCTGCTTTCAGAACTGAAACAAAGTTCATTATTTCTGTTAAGCCCTGGGATCAACTGTTTAAAAACTAAAATTTGCTCAAATCTCACAGGATTCCACAGTGTCAATTTAATCCTTTTGTGACTTGTCTGTCCCAGATGGTTAATTAAGGGCAGTCTTTGTTTGTTGTAAGTTGCTTTTGTTAGATGATTCCAGAGCTGTCTGCAACCCCAGTGTGAATATCTTTATTAGTCCCAATAAAATGTTCACCATATTTTAGGAAATATCCAAGCCTCCTCATTGTCTCCTCAATAAGTGGAAAGATCTATAGGTTATTGAATTATAAAAGCTTACTTTAGATTTTACATGACTGATATATTCATTCTGAAACAGTCCTGAACAATGTGTGCCTATCAAAGGGAGATAATTTTGATGCACACAGTACTGGTGTAATACAAACATCAAGAAAGAAAAACTTTACTAGACTCAGTATGAAGGAGCTGCAGCTACAGGCCATGATGGGAAGGAGGAAGTTGGGTTACTAGACTCTATATGATGGAGATGCTGCTATAGGCAATGATGGGAAGGAGGAAGTTGGGTTACTAGACTCTATATGATGGAGCTGCAGCTACAGGCCATGATGGAAAGGAGGGAGTTGGGCTGATAGACTCTATATGATGGAGCTGCAGCTACAGGCCATGATGGGAAGGAGGGAGCTGGGCTGATAGACTCTATATGATGGAGCTGCTGCTACAGGCAATGATGGGAAGGAGGGAGCTGGGTTGTTAATATGAGAACCTTTCTAAAACTACTCTTTACCTTCAGGTGTTAGAGCACAGCAATTAGGCGGTACACGATGTGAGGGCGTGGTTTAGTTTATTTACAGCATGAGCAGGAGCAACAATTTTGAGGAAAGAGAATAAAAATAGAACAGAAAAAAAGAGTTTGTCCAAAATGAAGAAAAAGTGGGATGGTGGCTGGCGCCAGAGTCCCACCAGTAAGAATAACTGTTCCGAAGACATTCGGAAAGACAGTATGAAGAGTGAAACGTTTTGACTAGTGAAGAGTCAGATCAAAACTGTAGGCATGGAGGGCTGCCAATCACTCAGAATGATGTGATATGCAGAGAATCAGTGGCTGTGGGGTTATTTTCCACATTGGACCAAATGTAGGGCATTGTTAATAAATGGATTAAAGTTTGAGCATATGCCATTGACTGTGTCTATAGTTCTGGAAAGCTCATCACAGAACAAAGTTCACATAACCATAAAAATAAATTTTAAGTACACCAGGATAACTAGAAAGAAAAACACTGGAAAAAAATATGAATGCAATAACAAAGTATGAAGCTCAAATTTTCAGAGGGTCTGGAGGATATAACTAAACCCAGGCAATAGGACAATCTGGGTTCACCTGAAGTTGACCAAGGAAACATGTCAGAAAAGATAACAGGATGGAGAAGAGTGAAAAAAAAAGAAGAAATAATAATAATAAAAAACAAATCAGAAGGAGAAGAAATCCTTAAAACACTAAGAAAGTTTAAATAGAAAGTGCATGCCACTAAGGATAAGCAAAGTGTAGAACACATAAAGAGAGCTGTAAGGATGAATGGTCTGGTCCAACAGTCTGAATTTTTACAGGATTTCTCCCTTGTTTCCCTCTTTTCCTGGTGGCTTTCTTTAGCCATCTGACAAGCTAGTGGGGCCAATTGCTATTTGCTAACTCTTGATGCCTAGCTCATTGACATACAAACTGGATACCTACCGAAAGCTGAGTTAAATATATGGCAAGGGGAATATTTACAACTTAGCTGAAAATAAGGTCTCAGATTTTCTAGGGGAAATTACAGTTAATGTTTGTAAAATTGAGTTACTGGCTTTTGAGTTTAGATAAAGATACTAAGCACACATATTTTGGAGCAACGCAAACAAATCTTGCTCTGGATCACATTATCTTTCTATTCATAAACATAGAAAATAATCTAACTGAGAAATTCCATGGTGAAACTAGGGACAACAGCCAACATCCGGATGTTGGTTGTTATATAGAACAGCTGTCTGAGTCACTAACACTCTCATTTCTAAGCCACTAATTTTGCATCATACAAACCTACGATCTGATCACTTCATATTATGTGACAATATGAGTATCTTCCTAAAAACTCACATTATAGACCACACTGACATTTATATCTACATAGGATTTAATCCAGTAACACTTTTCAAGAATAATCAGAAAGAGAAACTTAATATAACACAAAAGATTATCAGAATGCACACATGCAAATACACCGTTTATTTAGATGAAGTTTATAGTCTCTCAGGTGCCGGCATATATGTCTTAAAACTTTGAGTCAGTCCAGACTTGAGATGAGATACAGTTCAGTGCACTGAACACAGGTGCTATAGACATGCTTAGACTCTGGACAAGAAGTGAGCTCACAGAAAGGAAATGCAATATGGCTGACATTTACCTACACATGTGTCATGGTTTGCCTCAGAGCCTTCAGGGCAACTTTTCCTAATAGTCCTTCTAGTCCTGGAGAAAGATGCTCTGCTGTTTCTATACTCTGAGTAGGAGCTGTAGAGTTGTGAGTGCTGTCTGTAAGGCTGCCGAGGCTGATAATCACTTCTCACAGGGGAGAACCGGGCATGGTTATAGCTACTGTATTGAGTGCCATAACTCGACAGCCTCTCCAATCCAGCGCAAGATTTCCCATCCCCTAACAAATGTTGTCCTGGTGGACAGACACACTTGAAGCTGCCGGGGGTGTTGGAGCACTGATGTGCACAAGGTTTAGGTGCTTGCTCACATTCATTAATGTCTGCGCATGTGCCATGATCCATAAAAGAGAGAGAGAGAAAAAAAAGCATATATACACACAAAACAATCAGTCTGTGAAACAAAAACTAAAGACATTGTATTATTCTCAATAATGGTGCCAAGGCTAAGCACCCAGTTATGAATACTTAGAAAGAATCTGTGCCACTGTTTCATACGTGCACATTTTATTTAAACATCCATACTCCAGCAGGTGCCCTGGGAAGCTGGATACTAGTTCTGGGCATCCATCTTCTCTTTCTTTTACTGTTATAGCTGTAAGACCCAATGAGATATTGCAGCCTTGTCCCCTTGCCTTCAAGGTAACACCAAGCTTGGATGTGCATCACTTTGGGCTACGCCGACACACGTCTTTATATGCAGCATGCAAGACTGCCGTTTATGTATTTCATCTTATTTTAGGCTAGTCATACAGCAATGGGTTTAACTATGGAAATACTATAAACCCCACACTCAGCTTTCTGAATTAAACTGGGCAGGGACATGCTACAATATTAAAAATGTTTCACCTTCCTTTGAGAGTAAAGATACAAAAAAAAAAAAAGCATGGAACCCAAATTAGTGTAATTTATAATAAAACAAAAATAATTTAAATGTCTCTGTGTATGTCCTAATAAAATGATATATGCATATATCAAAATTTTTCTCTTTTTGAAAAGATCTATTTTATTCTTAATTTTTTTTCTCATGTGTATGTGTGTGTTTCTTCTGTGTGTTTGTGGGCACCCTCAGAGGCCAGAAGAGAGTCTAGGTCCTTGGAGCTGGAGTTGCAGGCATTTGCTAGCTGCTTGCTGCGGGTGCTGGGAACTGAACTTGGCTCCTCTGGAAGCCTCGTAACTGCTGAGCCATCTCTCCAGCCTTTCCTTTTCCTCTTTTGACTCACAGATTCCTCAGATGTATTTCTAGCTCTCCTGGTTGGTTCGCACTGTGGGAAACACTCACGTGTTTAGATCCAGTGTTCATGAATCTATAAAGATCTGTATGCTCATTTATTATTTTCTTATGTAAGTGAGCTTCGTCTTTCCACACTGATCATGGCCTTCATAACTATATTCCCTACCCAGCGGCAGCAGGGCTCCTTGCCAAACAAAATTGCCTCACATTGCACCTCTCCTTGTCTTCCCATTACACAGTTTGGAGAAAATCTAAGCTCTTTGCTCTGGCCTCTGTCTTCTGCCCAGCTGTGCTCCAATAGCTAGCCCTGTGTCCATCTCTGAGCACGGCCGGTGTGGACCCACCTGCCCGGCTGTGGCCTGTTTTCTCTTTAGTGCTTGTTTGAACCTCCACACACTGGCTGCCCCTTCACCCCACTCTCTGGAGTGGTGCTGCTCACCCTGGCCTGCATCATCCTCCCGCTAGCCCTGTTTGATGTTCTTAGATTGTTAATCACCATCTGATTTTGTACTCATATTTATCCTGGAAGTACCTTTCTCCCCATGAAAGGTAAACCCCATGAGGGCAGAGACCTGCTCTACAGTGTTTAGAGTTAATTTCCCACAACTGAGAACATCACTCAGAACAAATTATGTGCTCAATAAACTCTGCTTGAAATAAAGAAGCAGTGAGTATGGATGCCTGGGGTCAAGTCTGGTCACTAACAGTAGAAACAAAAAGTGTCCTATAGTGAACTGTGCCTTGAGGACAGAGAAACCTGGATTTAAAAGTGGAAGGAATGGTAATTCTGTTGGTCCTCAGAGGGCTGAAATTGTATGTGGAATTTGTAGTCAGCCATCTCTACTAGTGCATCCGGTCTCTCTACAGTTAAAACTCCCAGATGCATGGATACATAACTACAAGCTTGCAGCTTTTCTGTTTTGAATTATTAATTTTGACTTAATAGTTAAGCCAAGCTCATTTTCTTCCTAGATATCAAGGGAACAAAGACACAGAATCACGTTTTACTGAGACAAAAGCTCATCATAGCTTGGAGAATTTTATAATGTTGTTTTTCTTTTTTCTTATATGTCAACAAATAAAGTGTTTCTTGGCAACTCATCCTGCAAGTTGAAAAACCACATGAAAATCAGGGATCAAAACGAAATCCATTAATCCATCACTACAGTGGCAGGAAAACATTAGAAAATGTTGAAAACAAAAGTAATAATTTGTTTTAAAACCTATTCTGGAAAGCAAAAATTAAAATGAACATTTTAAACTCTTCAGGGAAATGACCTTTCTTTATTCCTCAGAAGAATGTTAGATATACAACTACCGATCCATGTCCAGAACAAACTAACATTCCACTCCATACATCACTGTAATGGCTGTTCAAGAAATTCAGTGACAAGATCTAGACAGGCATTGCATGTTATAGAATATAAGCTATAATATCTAAATAGAAGAATAAAATGATGTGTTACACATTTATCCTATTAATATAATAGCTTATAAAAAGGGTGCTGGCATGAACATTTGCTATGTGCAAAGTACTATGCTAGGAGCAATATAAAAACAGAACTAATTGCTGTAAATTGTTTAATAGACAAACAAGACAACCAATTTTAAAAACAGATTATAAGACCCTAAAGCATATATCAAAATCCCATTATTTAAAAGTCCATATAGTTTTTTTTTTACTTCACTTAAATAGTCTGATGATAAATGACTTAATAGTTCAGCTTCTTGATTATAGATACACATTTTTTTTAAAAGTACATGGTTACTCTGTGTGTGCATGTGTACCCACATGTGAAAGACAGGGGGCGGGGATAAAGTGTCTACCTCTATCACTCTCTGCCATATTGCCTGAAAACTTTTAGGTTCATGGTTTTGGCTAGGCTGGCCAGTGAACCCCCAGTGTTCACCTGTTTCTGTTTCCTAATACTGAGGTTATAGGCAAACAAGGCCATGTGCTGTTGGTTTTCTTTTCTTTCTTCTTCTTAATGTGGGTGCTGGAAATTCAAACTAAAAAAAGTTTCCAGGCTTGCACGAGCAAACACTCATATCCACTGGCCCATCTTCCCAGCCTATGGTTATCTTCCTGTAGATATCGCTCACCATCTGCCTTATTCTATAGTGCATTATGACTAGAATGGAAACAAATAGGCAATTGGAAGAATTGAATGAGATATTTTTAGTTCAGAGAATAGCATACAGTGAACATTAAATATTGTAGTCAATGTAATAATTACCAGTTCACCTAAATTGTGCTAAGGTTTTTATATGCTTAAATTTTCATACTACATATAAATATATTCTGTACTGAATAAAATGTATCTATGTAAACATTTATGTCATGTGCCTAGAGAAGTAATAAGATAATCACGAGAATCAAGTTGCCATGGCTGTTATATTGGAAGTTCACTTTGCTATATATGCATTACTTAGGAAACACTCAGGAAATGGCCATAATATTACTTGAAATGCCAATATAAATTGAATTCAATGTGAAGTCTCTGAGGTAGTAACCAGACTATGTTACAACTTACTAGCCTACTTATACATCTACTAGGTGTAACAATAGAGCATGACCATACATGTCTGCTAAGGCCAGGTAACCCTATCAGCAGTTGAATTACTCTGGATGGGTTTTTGTTAACTTACCAATACAAGGTCTTCCAACTCCTTGGGACCGATAACCTCTTGGGCATGCACACCGGTAGCTGCCTCTCATGTTCTCACATATTTGGTTATATCTGCACTGATGGGTCCCGTCTTTGCACTCATCGATGTCTACAGACAGGGAGGCAATAAAAAGCAGTATTTCCTCAAACCTGGAGTCATCATACTTAGAATTCACATTCTGCTGATTGTCAAAGGTCATGCTTCTCACTATGTTGTTGAGATTATATTAAATTCGGATTTAGGACTCGGGAGTCAGGAAACCTGGGTTCAGCTCTCAGCACTGCTGCTATTAACTGGCCCTCCCCACCCCCTTGCTTCACACTGTGGAAAGAGTTTTGTTCTTTGTTTTTGGTTTTGCTTCTTCTCTGTACTTCGATTCCTTTGGCCCTCTTATTTGTCCCAAAGGTCATTGTGTAGGCAGATTTGGAGCCATGGTGCTACATGGCTGCTGACCCCCAGTTCCACAGCTGCAGCTGCCAGCTGGACATCTCCATGTCCTCTCTGAACTGCACTGCAAAGGCAGCATGCCCACTTTTACCCTTTCTCTCTTTCTTATAGCAACAGCACTCCTTCGAAGTCAACCCTGGCTGCTAGTATCAGAGTCATCTTTAAGTTACTTTTGCAGCTGGGTAGTTTTGTAACCTTCCACTGAAGCCATAGATGTCTCCATTTACATTCTCACTGAGCCAGATTTCTGCTGTCCCTTCTTATTCTGATATTTCAGTTCATGTCATTTCTAATTATCTTAGACCTAATTATAGAGTCAATATTCCTATAAACAAACACTGCTGGATGCTATGGTAGGCGATGCTCAGAACAGGCTGCTACTCCACTGAAGGAAAATAGTTAGCTATATGCATAGTGTTAGAGCTACAAAGTGTTTGAAAGGTGATAGTCCAGGACTTGCCCCTAGAAGTTCCTAGGTATACAAACCCTTCATGTACCTCAATTATCAACAAGTGGTCAGTATTCCACATCTAGCTATTTCTTCTGAACACAGGGCTTTCTTGTCTTCCCTTTCCTACCGTCAGCACAAGTTAACAGTCCCATCAACTTAAATTTAAATGTGCTTACTTCCACCATGCTTTTGATAGTCTTACATATGATCGCTTGATTGCTGTCTTGGTCGCTGCTCAATTTTATTTGCATCTTTTATGGTGTTTTCATTGCCCCCCCCCACCTAGTTTTGATAGGAGAGTAAGCCGAATTAATGCTCTGTTTTTATTTATTATTACATTTACTTATTGTGTGTGCGGAGGGAACTCACATGCCACCACACACGTGGAAGTCTGACAGATCTCTCCTTCCACAGTGTGGGTCCCAGGGACTGAATTCAAGTGGTCTGGCTTGGCTATAGGAGTCTTTACCTGCTGATCTATCTTTTTATTTTTTTTTATTTTTTAAAAGGATTCGTTTATTTATTTTTTTAATTTTATTTTATTTTATTTTACAATACTATTCAGTTCTACATAATAGCCACAGATTCCCTTGTTCTCTCCCTTCCTGCGCCCCTCCTCTTCCCCCCAGCCCACTCCCCATTCCCACCTCCTCCAGATCAAGGCCTCCCCCAGGACTGGGATCGACCTGATAGACTCAGTCCAGGCAGGTCCAGTCCTCTCCTCCCAGATTGAGCCAAGCGTCCCTGCATAAGTCCCAGGTTTCAAACAGCCAACTCATGCAATGAGCCCAGGACCTGGTACCACTGCCTAGATGCCTCCCAAACAGATCAAGCCAATTGACTGTCTCACCTATTCAGAGGGCCTGATCCAGTTGGGGGCCCCTCAGCCTTTGGTTCATAGTTCATGTGTTTCCATTCATTTGGTTATTTGTCCCTGTGCTTTATCCAACCTTCATTTCAACAATTCTCGCTCATATAAACCCTCCTCTTTCTCACTAATTAGACTCCCAGCACTCCACCTGGGGCCTAGCCTTGGATGTCTGCATCCAGATTCCTCAGTCCTTGGATGGGGTTTATGGCACAACTATTAGGGTGTTTGGCCATCCCATCACCAGAGTAGGTCAGTCCCGGCTATCTCTCCACCATTGCCAGCAGTCTTTTGTGGGGGTATCTTTGTGTATTTCTGTGGGCCTCTTTAGCTCTTTGTTTCTTCCTTTTCTCATGTGGTCTTCATTTACCATGGTCTCCTATTCCTTGTTCTCCCTCTCTTTTCTTGATCCAGCTAGGATCTCCCGCTCTCTTTCCCTCAACCCTTGCCCTTGATCTATTTTACTCACCCACTTTGTTTTCATTAATTGCTGCAGTTTTTAGATCTACTAGTTCATGTAGGCTGGTACAGAATAGATAAACAAAGAATAAACTTAGAAGAAATATAACTTATTTTATATTCTAAGTTGCAAATTGATGACATCTGGTGACTTTGTAAGCTGTTACGGAATAGATGACAAGGAATAAAGTTGAGGTAAATAGAATTTATTTATTTTCTTCTCCTTGATTTAATAAAGTAGTTCTAGAATAATTATATTTTAAAATAAGTCTATAAATAAGCCTTTTCTTGACTTTGCTGTGAAGTTCTAAGCAGATATGCTAAATTTCAAGCTAGAAATCGCATGAGTTAATGCTAATCTATGTAGATATTAAACTTTGTAAAAAAAATGTTTGATGGACAGGAGCTCAAAATGGTCCTAAGTCTGCATAAGGGGCTTCCATCTCCTTGTACTCCATGATGTTGAGATTCTAAAGCTCAAGCATGCCAGGACTTAGAGGAACTAGTGGAAAAGGATTTTCTTGTTAACTCAGTTTCCGTCATCACCTTATTCTGGAATAGATACCTTCCTTAGCTTGTTGGTGTTAAAGAGTTCTCTGTCAGGGAAAGAGCATGGCACTCACCAATGCAGGTCCCGTTTTCAGCCTTGGTCATTCCATTTGGACAAAGATCAATGCACTTAAAGCCACCTCGGGTGTTCTTACAGTGTTGGTCTAGTCTGCACACATTCTGTCTACATTCGTTCACATCTCGACAAAAGAACAAAGGTGATACAGATGAGGTAAATGATTGATTCCACTTCTCTAGAGAAAATAATCCTTAGGATTTTAAGGTAATTATAAATCAATATACATGTGTATAACATAATTGCTGCATGTGATAAAAGTGCTTAAGTCTAACAAGGTACATTAATTTATTTTACTTTAAATCAGAATGAGAAAGTATTATTTCACAGAGTTGGTAGCCATACTTATATATGATATAAACTTAATGTGTATACATACATACATATCCATGTATATATAAACTTAATGTGTATACATATATGCATATATTTGCACACACATATATGAATGTAATATATATATATATATATATATATATATATATATATATATATATATATAAAATGTTTAAGACCCCAGTGGTTTTATCATTCAAGTATGGAGCTGGGAATCTATAAAATGTCACTTGATTATGCTTTTTGTACAGATTACAAGCATGGGCATAGCTCGGTACTTGAATAAGTAAGCATGTACGTTTAGACAATTCAGCACTGAAAAATTAGAGAAGTCTGGAGAGATGGCTCAGTGGGTAAGAATGCTTGATACGCAAACATAAGGATTGGGGTTTGAATTTCCAGAACCCATGTAAGAACCTGGGTGTGGCTGCATGTGAACCCATAACCTCAGTGCCATAGGAAGGTAGAGTCGGGAGAATGGCTGGGGCTTGCTGGCTGCCTGGTCTAGCAGAAAAACAGTGAACTTCAGTTTCAGTGGGAGATGCTGTCTCAAAGGAATAAGCTGGAGAGTGACAGGCCAGGTCATTGATGTCCTCCTCTAGACTGTGCACACGTGCATACAAGCTCTCTCTCTCTCTCTCTCTCTCTCTCTCTCTCTCTCTCTCTCTCTCTCTCTCTCTTTCTGAGTTACATCAATATAATCATTGTGAATTCAAAGTAAGCATCTTACCAATGCATTTTCTGCCTTTGAGTTGATAGCCAGCTTCACATCCACACTGGAAACTTCCTATGACGTTGAAGCAGCGTTGGTGACAGGGATTGGATTCCTGACATTCATTAATATCTGTCAAATAAGATCAAACTTTCAGTAGATGTTGTTAGGAAAGCTGAGGACATTCATTCCAAACATTTAATCATTTACCAATCTTGATGATGATCATGGTTAAGACCCCAGACTAACCTGATACATGCAGTCTCGTAGTCTCTGCTACACAATTAATACAATCAGCTGCCGGAAAGGGCTTATTCCTCTAATACTTCTAAACATAGATGTTTACTAATGGTTCAGAACTCTGTTGGTTAAATTCTGGCTTGCTTTAAGTATTTTACTGTGTGGCCCCCACCCGTTTCTGGGAATTTTAAGCTCTGGAATTCTGTTGAAAGACTGGAATGAAGATAGAAGAAAAGAAAACAAAGCAAACTGACAGGAAGCTGGAAGGTCCTTTGCAAGTGGCCTTATTTCCCTGCCCTGGTTGCTACTCTCCTGACAAGCCTATCGTGTTGTGTCTGACTTAGCAACCTCAGCAGCTCTCCTCTCCTTCTCTGCGGTCACTGCCAAACTCGTCCCAACATGACCTGGTTGGTTCACAGTGTAAAGAAGAGGAGGATGCAAAGCCTTGGTACCTTCCCTTCTCTCCCTTACTCAGTCCCGGGGCGGGGGGAGACAGAGAGAGAGAGAGAGAGAGAGAGACAGAGACAGAGACAGAGACAGAGACAGAGACAGAGACATCCCCCTCTCATAAAAGAAGTCTATCTGGGTTTTGCACCTCTGAAGGCACCTTCTCTTTTCTCATGAACACGGGGACTGTAGCCCATCAGTTGACCACTCCTCTTGTGTAGGTTCGAAGTCCATCTTTCTCTTTAGTCCTAGGCATAGTCAAGCCTCTTCCCTCTCCTAGGTCATATATACCTCAGTCTCCTTTCTCCTCTCTGTTGTTCTAATACAAATCCTTCAAAAGGACAATTGCCATATTTAGGCTCTTTGTTCTAAAAATTGAGACCGTCACTGTCCCTTATTTACTCCCTCTACTTGAGATCTTCTAATTTAGCTCTTGAAAGGCACAGCGTATTAATTCATATAAGTTCATGTACATAATCAAATACTTGATGATTCTCTTCTTGGTGTATCTCTTGCCTTTCCTTTTCTTTGTTTGCATGGGCCCTCATCTCTTTTCACATTGCTTGCCAGAAAAGGCAAATGCCATTAACAACCAGAAATGAATAACATATTGCTTCTATGTGCATACCTATATATTGACTTTCTTTTTCTTTACTTATTCTTTGTTTTCTAATCACATTATTTTATACAAGTTATACACGATTTTTTATAGCTTGATTTTTCTCGTTCCTGCAAAGTGGCTGATGGTGTAGGGGAATCATCCCCTTCTCTTCCTACTATTTAGTTTGGGATCTACTCTTTTTGACTCTGTGAAAAATCCTGACATCAGTGTTGTCAGTTATTGCCAAAATTTTGAATCAACCATGGTGTCATTTAGTAGGTAAAAAATAAAAAAGCGTGAAACATTCATATGGTGGTATATGACTTGGCCCTAAAAGAAATGTACTGTGAAGCCATGCAAAGAGTCACGAAGGACCTCAATTACTAACCCTAACCCTGTCTCCAAGGCTGTACACTGAAGAATTCTGGCATACATTGTTATATACATTTGAGACAAGGAAACACTGTGGAGACATTAAATATATCAGGATTGCAGAGACAGAGATGGACACATGGGAATCAGCGTGTTTTTAGGATCATGAAACTATCATACCAGTATAAGTCTGTGCAAATACATAGAATGTCCAACACTGAGAGTGAGCACTAATGTGCAGGGTGGCCTCTGGTGGTGTCTCAATGCGGCTCATCAAAATGAAACAAAGGCAACACAGGGCAGCAGGAAGCTGATAGTGGAGGGAATTCGGATACGTGAAAAGGGTGTCAGGAAATATGTGAAACTCTACTTTCCGGTAATTGAAAAAGATTTATTTTAATTATAATTATGTTTATGAGTGTATGTCTGCATGTGGTACATGCATGTGAATGCATGTGGAGGCCAGAAACATCTGATACCCTTGGAGCTGGAGCTTTGGGAGGTTGTGAGTGGCCCTACGTTGGTGCTGGGAACCAAACTCAGATCTTCTGAAAGAGCAATAGATATTTTCAACAGTGTCATCATCTCTCTATCCCTTTTGCTAAATTTTGATTTCAAATTCACACTGATTTAAAAACAAAATCTCTATTAAAATAATATAATAATGAACATCCTAGTCTACACTGAGTCTTCTCCTTTGGAACAGATACTATTAGATTGTGTTGTATGATCTGCCTTCTCAAATGGTAATAAGCAAATGGTATTCAAAACTACTGTGCTAAAAACATTATAAACAACTATGAAATATCATATCTCCATAAGAACTTGTCAAACAACTCCAGTTTTGAAACATCCAAGCTGTGGCTATCCATATTTAAGTTCTTCTGAGAGAGCGGAGGCCCATTAGCTTTATAGGTCCCAATTCTTTCCCTTTTATATGGCATCTGTCCCTTTAAACGATTCAGAAAGTCTAAACTTTGGTATCAGAAGGTTGGCTCGATGGATAAAGGGCTTGCCATAAGCATGAGGACTGGAGTTTGGATCTTCACACTCACATGAAAGTCAGGTGGGTGTGGCATGGGTGGGTGTGGCAGTTCACATGTAATTCCAGTTCTGAGAAGGTAGAGATAGAGGATCTTCAGGGCTAGCTAGCTAGATATATCAGCTAAATTAGTGAGCTCAAGTTTTGTGGAAGACATTGCCTCAGTAAACAAAGTGTTGAGCAATTGAGGAAGACACCCAACGCTAACCACTGGGCTCCACATACATGTGCACAGCCAACTGTACACCCACACATACCTAAGTACACATACACATATGTGTGCATAGCACAGACAGACAGACACACTTTGTACCTTGACAACTGAGCCCATCAGAAGTTCTTCGGAAACCTGTTCCACAATGGACCACACAGCGATAGGATCCAATGGTGTTGTCACAGTCCTGACCAGCATGACACGTATGTCCACCCAAAGCACACTCATCAATGTCTACAACAGAAGGGGGCATCACATTGAGGTGAACTGAAAAACAACTAACTTGAGAACTTGCTGTCAAGCAGGGACAAGAAGCCATAAGATAATTGAAAATATCAAAGAATAAGAAAGCTTGAATTTTTTGGTTGAGTCATTTAAAGTTACTAAGCATGCTGTGATGTATCTATAGGCCAATCACTGGATTAGACTATTTATAAATTAGGCGACTTTTAACAAATGAGTTGTTCTCTCTGGGATCTTCAGTGAGGTATCCCAGACATCCCTAATTTCCAGGTGCCTTTATGAAAGCAATGGCTGGCCAGTATTCTCTTTCTTACATTTTCAACCATATATAAGGATTTTTCTGTTTGTTGCAAGGCTGTGGGCAGAGGAAACTGGTAGAAGACTGGCCTACCATGTTTTTCCTAGGGAAGATTGTTTTGGTCATCAGATTTAGTTTGGAGGCTACCTTGGCAGGTTCTTCCATCGGCAGCTATGGTGAGGCCTTTGGGGCAGGAGCAGTAATAGGCTCCCATGGCATTGTGGCAGGTATGGGAGCAGGGATTCCCGGCTGTGCATTCATCTTCATCTAAAAGAAGACACAAAAGGCCATCAGTGTGTAAAACTCCTGCTTCCTAGGAGCTGCTCAAGTCCATGAGAATAATCGTGTCTAGATGCCTAGGACTTGGATCCAATATAACAGAGAATACTCTAACTGACACAGAATAAAACTGCTATGGAGAAATTAACTTGAAGTCTCAAAATTATTGCTGATAGTGAATACGTTTAGATTTTTAGTCTAAAACAAAAATAATAGCTAAAACACATTTATATTTACTTCGACCTAAAGGCTCCTTAGCAGTTACAACTTATTCTGCAAAGCATTCTTCAGGGATAGGATTTTTACAAAACTGTTCTAATTTGGACAGCCAATCTGGAGAACAGAGGTTAAGTGAACGCTCTCAGTCACTAAGGCTATTCCTGCCAGGGCTGAGCCTTGACTGCAGTCTAAACACAACCTCCTGCCAGTCCACTACATTCTGCAGGTCAGTGGAAGAGCAGCACTGTGCATGCCAACATGAAATCCTCAGCCATTTGCTAAGCTGTGACGTCCTGTGAGGGACAAAGCTGGATTCCCAGTTACTTGCGGGCTCTCTATCCCGTTCTGCCCCACGACTGAGCAGTTCTGTGGGTAGGTGAGCTCGTGTCCGTTCACGGATAGCCCACACCCATCGAGCCACTGGATGGAGATTAATGCTCTCTGTTCACTCCATTCTGTCCCTGGTCACCATCTCTGTTACACTAGACTGTGGCCAAACTGAAGCCGTATGGGCGTCGTCATCCCACTTAACCTCAAATGTAGTCTGCCATCTGATACTAGGCAATCTTAAGCAGTGTAACTTCTCTGCATCTCCATTCCTCAGGTATCAAGTAGAACATTTGTAGGCAGCTGTGATGATTAAATACCTAGGAAAATGGTAGCAGCAGTCCACAAAAGGATAATTATTAGTTGAGCCAGTGAGACGACTCAGCAGATAAAGGTACTTGCTCTCAATCCTGATGACCTAACTTAGATCCCTGGAATCACATAGTGGAGCCAGACATCTGCCTCTTACAAATTTTCCTTTGACTTTGTCATGAAGAATGATACCTTTGTCAGGAGCCACCACATGCCCCCTTCCACACTAAATAAATAAATGTAAAGGAAAGATAACCATTGCTGACACTATTGGGAAATGAAAATATTTTATTCACTCCTATACTTACCAGCACAAAAGGGTCCCACTGAATCTAAGGTGAAGCCAGAGGGGCACTGGTTACTGCGATCTCCTGCCGAAGGGAAGAAAGCACAATTAACTGGCCTGTTAGAACACTGGCACCCACTGCCATCCCAGTATAGCCTTCCTTGGGAAGATACATCAAAGAGGAAATAAAGAAAACACAGTATTGGAAACATGCAAGGATGGAGAACTTCATGTTTTTCCACCAGGAGTTAAATGAACTGGTCCAGAGAATGTTGGCAAGCTGACACTGGAAAAATTTTTTTTTCAGTTTAAGTTATACACAGAAATAGAAAGAAAACAAAATAATTTATTCTGTAATAGCTAAAGAGAACACAAAGATAACTGTGTATGCCAGGCACAGCCACAGATGCATCCTGTTGTCTTAACCGCTGGTACACTTTCATTGAAAAAGGAAGGATGCTGTGTGCAAACAACTGAAATTCATTGCCTTAACGGAAAATTAACATTCTAGGCAGGAGTCCTCATTTTTTGGGTGGTGGTGGTGGTGAATCTTCTCCATTTGCAATATTGAGAATTTTGAAATTGAAATTCTTGTGTGTGACTGTTTTCCTGTTCTGAGCAGTTGAGGCAAGGGCAATGGGCAGGTTGAGTTAGAGCAAATTTAAAGTAGATATCAGGAAAAAGGTCTTGGGAAGAATCTCTTTCCTGAGAGCATTCAAAGCACGAGGGAGGGAGTGGGAATAAGGTGGATGGAGCAAAAGCATCTGGCGTGTGAACTACATGATGCCTCGCAGTGGTTCTCAGCCTTCCTAATGCTGTGGAATAATCTTTTTGTACCCTGTGAATATGTGTCACTCTGATTGGTTTAACAAGAAGCTGCATGACCAATAGCTAGGCAGAATTTTCAGGGCAGAGAGGACACTGGGAAGAAGAAGGGAGTCGCAAGGAGACATGGAGGAAGCATGACATGTAGGAGATGAGGTAACAAGCCATGTGGCAGCGTGTGAATTAATAGAAATGTGTTAATTTAAGCTATAAAAGATAGTTAGAAACAAGCCTAAGCTATCAGCCGAGCTTTCATAATTAATAATAAATTGTCATGTGGCTATTTGGAAGCAGGCTGGCGGGACAGAGAAAGATCCATCTACAACCCTTTATACAGTTCCTTATGTTGTGGTGACCCTCAACCATACAATTATCTCGTTACTGTTTTATAATTCTAATGTTGCTACTGTCACAAACTGTAATGTAAATATCTGTGTTTTCCAATGGTAGTAGGTGACCCCTGTGAAAGGGTCATTCACCCCAAAAGGGTTCCCAAGCCACAGGTTGAGAACTACTGGCTTAAAGGTTACTATCTGCTTCATTTCATTCAAGCCTCCTGACATCCTTACTGCTGTCCTGATAACTAGTTTTCAGATGAGGCATCTGAGAGTAACAATTTAGAAACTGCTTAGGAGCAAAAGCTAGTGCGACAGTTTTAAGGAATAAGTCCCCTTAACTTTAAACTGCTGAGTTGGTTATTACAACTTATGTTCAGTTATCAACCTATTCCTACATCCTTTAAACTTAACCAGTATGTAGGTAGAGTTCCATGTTGGGGATGTACTTGTGAAAAAAATCATGTCATAGAAACATAATTCATTATTATCATATAGAAGCTTTGCATTTTGGGATATAATTGGGAGAGATATTTTTCCTTAGGTAGCATTTGGAAAATGTTGTGGAAGGAGATTCCTTATCTGTTATCATGATAAAGAAGATTATTAAAATTCAGTGCACAGAGCCGAGTGTGGTGGCCTGTGCCTGCAATCCTAGCACCTGAAAGGGTAAAGAAGGAAGATGGTGTGTTTAAGGTCTGTTGTAGACTATTATTTTAAGATATGTTACATTTGTTTATGCTGTGGAATATTTGTTTAATGATGCAAAGATGTGTTGCATTCTTTTATGTTGCATTTGTTTAAATCTGTGAAGCTGTGATCTTTGCCTGTATAAAACACCTGATGGTCTAATAAAGAGCTGAATGGCCAATAGCAAGGTAGGAGAAAGGATGGGCAATGCTGGAAGGCAAAGAGACTAAACAGAAAGAGAAATCTGGGATGAGAAAGAATGAAGAGAGATTAAGGAGCGAGAAAGTAAGGGGCCAGCCACCCAGCCACCCAGCCACCCAGCCACCCAGCCACCCAGCCACCCAGCCACCCAGCCACACAGCCACACAGCCACCCAGCCACCCAGCTAGCCATGGGGTAAGAGTGAAAGTAAGATATACAGAAGTAAGAGAAAGGTAAGTTGGGTGGTGGTGGTGATGCACGCCTTTAATCCCAGCACTTGGGAGGCAGAGCCAGGTGGATCTCTGTGAGTTCGAGGCCAGCCTGGGCTACAGAGTGAGATCCAGGACAGGCACCAAACCAAGATAAACCTTGTCTTGAAAAGAAAGGAAAAAAGAGAAAGGTAAAGGCTCAGAGGCAAAAGATAGATGAATAATTTAAAGTTAAGAAAAGCTGGCAAGAAAGAAGCCGAGCTAAGGCCCAGAATTTGTAATAAAGAATAAGCCTCTGCATGTAATTTGAGAGCTGGATGGCAGCGCCCCTCCCCCCAAAAAATAAAAAACAACCAACATTTTGGTGTTCCAACATGGGCACATAGAAAGCTGAACAACAAAGGTCAGTTCAGGCTATTATAGGGAGTTCCTAGTGGAAAAAGTTTTAAAAAGAAAAGCCCAGTGAGTGGGAAAGGCCCAGGGACAAGTTTCAACAGTTCCACAATGTATAGGAAAGTCCCCACCGTTTGTTCCTTGCTCTGAAAGACTTTGATGTAGGAAGGAGGCTGCAATTATAGAAACTTCGAATGTATATATTACATATTAAACATTCGAAGCCTTGAATGTATGTACTATAAATTAAACATTAGAAACTTTGAACATATGTACTACATACTAAACATTTCCACATGATTTAAATATGCAATGGATTTTTAAGGAATTCAACTATCATGTTGAATTTGTATCTTATTCTCCTTCATTTTATTCAGAATGTAACAAAGAATTCTTTAAGTTACCTCAGGTCCCCCGCCCCCTCTCTTCCCCAAAAAAGCACAGTAGGATTTTATAGGTCAGTTTAGGCATATGGCTAGTTTTCTTTATCTAAAGATTCTCACATTAAAACAAGATATCTTATTACAAATTATTTTCCTTTATTCATTCTTTTATTTCCATGTGTATATGTAGTGTATGTGTGTTTGCACACATGTATATGGGTACACTTGTCTGTGCCTGAGTGTGTGGAATCCAGATGTTGATGCTATGATGTCTTCCCTAACCTCTGCTTATCCACCTTGCTTTTTTGAGAAAAAGTCTCTCTCTCTCACTGAACCCCAGACTTGCCATTTTTACTACATCAGTCGACCTGGGAGCCTCCAGGATCCTTTAGTCTCTTCTGTGCTGGAGATACAGGCATGTGTCTCTCTGTGTTTGGCATTTAAGTGGGTTTTGACAATCCAAACTCAAGTCCTTTTGCTCGTATAGAAAACACTCTAGCCACTGAGATGTCTTCCTAGCCCAGTTTTTTATTGAATTTTTAATTTGTGTGTATATATGCCTGTGTGCATGCCTGTGGGCCACAGTGATCACATGGAGGTCAGAGGATAACTTGGAGAAATTGGTTCTCCCCTTCCACATTTGGATCTTCAGGTCATCAAGCTCAGTGTTAAGAACCATAACCCACTGAGACATCTCATCAGTCCCCCAGTCTTTACATTATAGTAAAAGTAGATTATTTTGAATTATAACTGTGATTTTAATCTGAATGTGGAAGACAGCATAAAGTATTTGTTTATGGTTATAATAATGGAATATAATAGTAGAAAATTTGAAAATCTAAAGTAAAATCCCCTATAACTTTATCAGTTGGAACAAACTATTCAGTTCATTGACACCTGGTGTTTCCATCTAGTCACTATTTTAATTAATCCATGCTTCAAATGTTAAGTATGGTTAAGTATGAAAATATTGGCTAATAATTGCCAAGCTTTATGAATAAAAAATCATTTGGTGAGCTTATCAAAAATATAGATTCTAGCTGGGTGGTGGTGGTGCATGCCTTTAATCCCAGCAATTGGGAGGCAGAGGCAGGCAGATCTCTGTGAGTTCAAGGCCAGCCTGGTCTACAAAGTGAGTTCCAGGACAGCTAAGACTGTTACATAGAGAAACCCTGTCTCGAAAAACCAAATTATATATACATATACATGCATACATATGTATATTCTGGATTGATGAAATGATTCATCAGGCAAAGGTACTTGCTGCCAAGCTTGAAGACCTGAACTGGTACCTGAGGCTGATGATACAAAGATGTTCACATGGCTTTAGGCTTTAGGCTGACATGTAGAAGTATCCATGGTGGGAGGAGAGAACTGACTCCTGAAAGTTTTCCCTTGACCTCTACATGTGTGCTATGACATTCATGCTTGTAAACACTCACACACACACAGTAGATGCTTTGATTTTCTATAATAATTATCAAGGGAAGACAAATAAGTTTGTTCTTAATAGTATGAGTATTTCCATAGCATCAGCCAGGTGTAGAAAATGCAGGCTTTATCACAGTGCACACTGTTTTTCAATCATTATTATGCCATAAATATTCTCTTCACTTGTGTAAACTTACAGTGGTGTCTAGTGCATGACCAACACTCAACAACTGTTAGGAAAAAAAATGAATTAACTATTTCTTGAAAATTGTTTCAATGATTATTTAAGAGGTTATTAAACATGTGTCATAATTTACATATTATTTCCAACGTCCAGAATGTTTATTTATTATTTTTCTGTTATAAAGAACACTAGGTGAAACCTCTAGAATAGTTATGTTGGGCTATTTCTGTGATTTTCGTTAGGACAGATTTTTGAGCACAAAAATGTGTTAAACAACCCAGAATGCAAGTGTGCCCCCTGCTGGTTCCTGGGAAACTGCAGGTGCATCTTTCAAATGTAATTCACGTATCATAGAACCACAGGTGCAGGGGCTGCAACAGAACTGACGTGTCTTTAAATGTGTTTGCCTATATTCTGGGACCCAGATTGCTCAGTAACAATCTCAGATGGTACAAAGTTGTTCACGTGGCTTTAGGCTTTTTAACATTTAACATTTAAGCCTAACTTGTAGACCTAGTCATGCCTGTGGTCAGCAATCAGTTTTTCCTCCTGAGGCACGTCCAATATTTTGGCGCTGTGATGAGATTTATTTCTCTACAAAGTTTGTGATCAAGGTTTTTGCATAACCACCAAGGAAAGCTATGCATGCACTGTGGGGACTGCTGAGTAAAATAAGTGAGGAATAAACTCCGTTTGTCATCTGCTACTACTGTCGTGCGGCAGAGGAGAGCTGAGACTAACTCACATGAAAAGTAAAGCATAGTAAACATTCTACCCGGCTATGAAGATATCTTTATATCAAAAAAGAACAATGGAGCCGGGCAGCGCACGCCTTTAATCCCAGCCCTCAGGAGGCAGAGCCAGGCAGATCTCTGTGGGTTCAAGGTCAGCCTGGTCTACAGAGCGAGATCCAGGACAGGCACCAAAACTACACAGAGAAACCCTGTCTCAAACAACAACAACAACAAAAATGGAGTTACAAAAAAAGTCAATTGAAAAAAAAAAACCCAAATGCCACAGAATATTGAATTGACTGCTGCAGTGGTTTTGAAGACTGAGAAGGAATACTGGAGACCAGACACTTCAAACAAGCACACATCACAGGGCAGCACTTCAAGGTATGGGACTATCTTTAGAAAATGGAAAGAAGTTCAGAAATGATGTATTGCATGACAGTTTCCAGGAATGAGAAACAATATTGTTATAACTACTGCCCCACAGTTTTTGGAAGCCACATTTACCTAAGGTAACTAGATGTTCTAATTTTTCCTGGAAAAATACCATTGTAGTAATCGTCCCTTTATCACAGGAGTCATGGTGTGGATGATAAACTTTATGGCCACATCAATCTAAGTCCTAAGTACCTGTTAAGACATGTCCGTACAAACTAGTTTATTTTTACATTTTCTCTGTATTGTTTCTCTGCTTGATCCAGGCTAGTTGGGCCTTCCTGAGTGACAACATCAATATACTCAATAAAGAGAAGAAAGGACTTAAAAGAAAGCAGCTTTGAGAATCTGAAAATTTCTGACTAGCTTAAGCTGTGATGTACTTTACATCATATTTCAGGGATTTTGAAAATTCATCGATAGATACATTATTCAAAAATTGACTTTATTATCTAAAGAAAAATTATTCAGGCAGATAACGTATATTTTAATCCTCTCTAAGATGATGGACTGGAACACCAATCCTGCCAGGTACTATGACGAGGCATCCTAGTAAACTAAACTCAACTGAACAAGCTTTACACAGGGCTAACCTACAACAGAAACAAAGAGCGCAGCACACGAGGAAAACCGCACTCTAGCATGCTAGGTCTGGGCCTTCAAATTACTACGTTGAATGTCTTCAAGGCTTTTAAAAGGAACAAGATGCGGGGTTGGAAAGATGGCTCAATGGTTAAGAGCACTGACTGCTCTTCTAGAAGACCTGTGTTCAATTCACAGCACCCACATGGCCGCTCACAATTGTCTGTGACTCCAGTTCCAGGGGACCTGGCACCCACGGCAGAATACCAATGCACATAAAAAATAATCAATTAATTAATTAATAAAAGAAAACCCCCCAAAAAAAAGAAAGAAAGAAAAAGAAAAGAGAACAAGATGGCAGCAGATATTTGGATTTTTCACATTACCTTTGGAAATTGAAGCATGGATTTTAAAACCCAGTGTCTCTTCCAGCTGGTTATAGTTAGACTCCACAGAAGCTGCATGAAGGGTTTCTACTAAGAAGGGCATTTTCCCCCAGGCCTGATCGTAGAAAATGGTGTGGTTCCACGTGTAGGGGACACTGATGCCATCGACGGTGAAGAGGCGGGTTGAGAAGGCATAGAGCTGCCCAGGTCCTGTTTGAACGTAGTCCTCCGTGTAATCCTAAGGGAAAGGACTGAGGGTCAACATGGCACCTGGCGTTTTTCATAGTGTACTGTGAGGTGTGCCGTGAGGGAGAAGCAGCAGCCTTGGAGAGTAACACTGGAATTCTGGATAAAACTGCAACTGCACAGTAGTCTTCTGGAAAATAACTCCTAGATCGATTCTTTTCATTATAACCAGGTTTGTAATTTATGGTCACAATTGGTGGTTTCACAAGACACTCTGGTTGTAGGTCAGGAACAAAGCAAGTTGTACAGAGACTATTTTCTCCACTCTGTAAGTTCACAAAGTGTTTTATTTTTCCATTTCTTTCACGTTAAAAATTTTTGAAATTAAAATATAATTACTTCATTTCTCTTCCCCTCTCCTTTTCCCCCCCTCCTTATCGATGGTACACAAAAAACTTCTTACAGGGATCTGTTCTCTCTTTCAGAAGAGAACTTAACAAGTGGCTTAAATCAGCACAGCGGCTCTTCTGGCTCTGCCACACTCAGCAATAAAAACACTCAGAGAGATGTAAAAGCTGAGCCCCTGGAGACTTCTGAGCAAAGACCAGATGGTTATTTACAACCTTGCTGGAGTAGTAATTTATCCCCAGAGCCAAGCAGTAAGAACCAAAGACCCCTGTGCTCTGTCTACAGGGCTTTTGTCCCCCTGCCCCATCCGCACACTAATAACCACGGAGAACTTGTAACCTGTTACCTTCACACTGACTTCAGCAGGTGACTGGAGCTGCAGGACATAGCCACTCACAATGACATCGAGCAGCAGAGTGCCATCAGAATCCAAGCCCCGGGCCACGTGTGTCATCCGCAAGACCTCCCCTGGGAATGACAATGCATTTGTTTGCACAGCAATAATAATAACAGCTATTATTACTATATATATGGTTTGTGGAAGCATAGAGAAGACCGATCTAATATTATAGTTTTATTTCAAATGTAAATAAATATGTAAGAGAATTGTTAGCACAAACACTTCCCGTTAAAAAGTTAGCCTTATTGAGTTGTCTTCCAAAATTCTATTTGGTAAAAGTATAGCATTTGGTTATGCAGAAGATTCCATGTTTTAGACTCAAGCAATAATCAAACATTTCTACACAGTTACTGCCTATTATATGGGCCAGGCAACTTCACCAGGGACCAGCAATGCCCACAGGCCTAGCTACAGGGTTTTGTTTTTTCCAGAGCTTCAGCAATGTTTAAAGGGCATCTTTGTATGTGAATGGATACCAAAAGGCCCCCCTGTCCTCTGTACTGATTAAACATTGGTTAAGGCGAAGTCCTCCCTCACGTTCTTCCTCAAAGGTCAATCCCATGGAGACTGGCCCACTCCATGGAGGCTGAAGTGGAGCTTTGTATGAACCTTTGTGAATACAGGAAGGGCCGCAAAGGGCTAATGCACAATGCTTAGGACAAAAGCAGGGCCAGAAGCATTAGTGTGCTGGGCTTTGCTTCCATCTGTTAGGTAAAGAATCATCATAAATAGATGAGGTGACTCATGGTTAAAGACAAGGCTTTGATTAACAACAAGAATGATTTTCCTTTGTTCTTCATGCTTTAAACCCCTCAAAGGTTTCAAGGCAAAGGCACAGTAAGGAAGAGAAAGAAGTTATTGGGTCACAAGTTTACTATTCTACTTGATAACACACAGTCCCTTACAGACCTTGTACTAGTATCCACTGACAGAAAAATATAAAACTGCTTTTTACATTATTCATGTAATATGCACCAAAAACTTAAAATAACTTTTCATGGGAGCATGCACCAAATTGTTCTTAGTCACGAAGCTTTATAGCAATCTATCTATATCTAATATAGGTATCTATATCTATGTCTCTATGTCTGTCTACCTGTCTGTCTGTCTATATCTAGTAGAATATTACGTTCACCTGACACTAACCAGTTGCAAATTCCACTTGGGTCTCTCGTTTGAAGACTGCGTTAGTGAGGGTAAAACCATTGACTGCTTCTCCTATTTCTTTTGCTGTTGTCCAGTAAATGGGATTTAGGATGGAAATGATCTTTCTCATTGCTGGACCTAAGAGAAAAAGACAGAGTTACAGAGCAAAATATTTACAGCCAATTATTGTCATAGTATATTATTCACAAGAGTGGATGCTAATGTTGACTAATGTGCAATCAATATGTCTTTGTGTATCTTTTTTACTAGCATATACTAGCTATACAAAATACTGGGTTTCACTACAACATTTTCATACATGTACTAATGTACTTGATCTCTCCCCAACCAGTTTCTCTTTGAGATAAAGACAATGTATTATACCAATGACTTAATGTTTCATCCTTTAGAATCTTTAGGTGAAATTAGTAAGATTAAAAAATAAAGTATGTTTTTAAAAAGAAATGTATGAAGGAAGGTGAGATGGCTCAGTGAATTGAGGTGCTTGCTGCTAAGCTTGATGACAGGAGTTCAATTTCTGGGACCCACAGGGTGGGAGGAGAGAACTGATTCTCATAAGCTGCCCTTTCACATCTCTATACATACCATGATACACACATGAATGCACGCACACACACACAAATAAATAACAACTAATTAATTAATTAAATGTAATAAATAAGTTTATTAAATTTCTCATAAATAGAGTGGCTCACCAAGACTTCGAGGCACATTGGTAATCTTGGCCTGTATTATTCTTGTATCAGAGTTGGGGCTATCTGTTATTGTGGCATCGAGGAAAGCGATTCCAAACTCAACATCATTAATATTCCCAATAACACTCCCTCTGGCTCGCTGGGGTCCACCTATTGAGGGAAGGAAGCAATTCCATCAACATTACACTAAGGAAAGGAAAGCCAGGGCGCAGAGATGCTACAAATCTTTTCTCAGACATCAAAAGAGTCCTAGGGCATCCAAATTTGAAAGCAAAATTAATAGGCTTTTAAAAGATTCCACTTTCACATAACACCCATTATCCCCATAAATCTAGTATCCCTCCGATCTGTGAACATCATAGTACTATTGCTTAAGCCAAAGAATACAGTATGTCCATTCTCACAGTCCAAATAAAGCATGTGTTTGTTGATGGTGATGAAACCATGACTACATTGAGTTTATAGAGAAAGTCACATGTGGCAGTAAACACTTCATGTGCATTAACTCTTTTGTTCCTATCAACAGTACTAGAAGGTAGCCTTAAATAGACACAGTTTGCAGGCTGGGCAAACAAAATTCAGAGAAATGATGTAGCTCTACCATCACTATAGGTCTAGAGAGAGAGGACTAAATACATTATCTTCTTGTCTTCAAAATGTGTTTTGGAGTAGAGACATTTATTTATCTAAATTGATAACTTAAAATTGCATATGTTTATTGTAGATAATGTGTTGTTTTAAAATATGTATACATTAAGAGGAAAGATGAAATTAATTAGCATATTTGTCACCTCATATACCTATTTTTGTAGTGACAGTACTTCGAATCTATTCTCTTTTCATTGAAGACTAGCGTACGATTGTGGAGAAGGTAGGAAAAGAACATGGAAGTAGACACAGTGGGACAGAGGTCTCCAGTGGCAAAGGGTGAGGGGCAGAGGCTTGGAGATATGCTGGTCAAGGCTACAAAGTCACAGAGGTGGAAGAAATTAAACATATTGACTGTAGAGCAAGTCAACTATATTATTGTTAATAATATAAGCCCATGTTCTTTTATCTATTGTTTCCTTCTTTAAAAGAGAAAAATCTTACCAACAAAATACCATCTAATCCTTGTTGCAAGTCACTGACAGAATAATGTGGTATATTGTTCAGTCTAGATCAGTGTGTGTGTGTGTGTGTGTGTGTGTGTGTGTGTGTGTGTGGTGCATGTGCACACACCTGTATGTACATATGTATGTATGTATATGTTTGTATGTATACATTAGTTCCTTTGGAGATGGGAGTCTCAGCAGTCTTGAGCTATAGATAGAGCATTCATTATTGTCTATATCGAGACAACAATTAACTTGAGAAAATTTGAGAACTATCTTATAATTTTGACAGCACTGTAAAATTCATACCAAAACAATTTGATTAAAGAACACATATGAAAAGGGTTGGGTTCCTTGAAATCTTGTCGGATTCTGGGACTCAAGCTGTCCATCTATCTAGACGATGGAACACATTATCATCTGAAGGCAGAACTGTTCTCTTGCTCCAGGAGGGAGTCTCCAAACCCTCCATGACCATTTGTGCATAGAGCATGTTTGCTGAGTAGTTGAAGTGGTAGATGCTTGGCCTTCCAGCTTGTCCACATACATATAAAAATCACTCACCGTGAATCGTTCTCACCCTGTCAAAAGGGGCCTTCTTGATTATCAGGGACATTTTATTTTTAAAGAAAACTTTAAAGCGTTGTAAGGTCCAATAGTATCTTCCCATTTCAACCATATGGAGCTGTCAATAGTGGTTTCCCTATAAATTTTAGAAATATGTCCTCTGACATGAAGAAGCCCCAAGGGAGCAAAAAGAGGCCAGAACCCAGCCGTAAGTGCTGCTATGGGGGCGCATTGTCTTTATAACCCTCCCTTCCAGAGCTGGCACTGTTTCATTCATTGTGGGGTCCAAATGGTAGCTTTTTCTGATTTGCATGGAGACTCCACACTTGTGCTAGCCATGGTCCTGCCAAAGCACAGCTCACTTACTTACCTGGACATGCCTGCGTATTGCATCTGGATACCTGGGTGGCATCTCCTGGACAGGAACGGCCATTTTTAGATGGTACTGGATTGTCACATAGCCGCTTCCGCATCCTTTCGCCTCCTCCACAAGAGACAGAACAGTGGCTCCAACTGTGCCATGTTCCCCAACTTCCATCCACTGTGAACAGGAATGGAATGTTCAATATTAGTGAATCAGTTTTAAAATCTTCACTTAGGCCGGGCGGTGGTGGCGCACGCCTTTAATCCCAGCACTTGGGAGGCAGAGCCAGGTGGATCTCCGTGAGTTTTAGGCCAGCCTGGTCTACCAAGTGAGTTCCAGGAAAGGCGCAAAGCTACACAGAGAAACCCTGTCTCGAAAAACAAAAAAACAAAAACAAAAACAAAAACAAAAACAAAATCTTCACTTAGGACACTCCCGATAGGCAAGTGACAGGGCTGTAGCAATGATCACTAAGTGAACAGCTTCATTCCTCCTGCAGACTGGAATTAAGAAGCTCACCAGGACACATGTCAGTGTTGCACCTCTGGATCTGGGTATCTGGCCCCCCACAGGCTCTTCCTCCATTGGCAGGACGTGGGTTGTCACACGTGCGGTACCTTCGCATCTGCCCTCCATTGCAAGTCCGGCTGCATGTTCCCCAGCCACTCCAGGGGCTCCAGTTACCGTGAGCTACAACATGAAATAATTTGACATGAAACAGAGCTCTAACAATGAGAAGTAAAAGAAACCATGACATTCATCCCCAGGTCAAGGAAAGCCCTTCAAGAAATAAACAGAAAGACAACCAATCAATAAGTGAATAGCTTTCCAATGGAGGTGACTTAGGTAATGCTTTGACTAGAGACAGAAGACATATTCTAGTAATGATGGGATTCCCTTCAACTGCTCAGCTATTATATTTAAACTATCCCATGAGCTAGAGGTGATATGGGAAACACAGTCCCCATTCTTGCCGAGCAGAGACTGTAATGTTCAGAACACACTAAAGCAAAACACAGCATTTTGGCATCCTAAATGAAAGGTCAAAGAGCAAGCAATAAAATACTATAACTTTCAGGTTTGGAGCCCTCACAAAGCTCTGCAGAAGTGACGCTGACTCACTGTCTCCAACACTCACTTGGACAAGGGTCACTGTTACAAAAATCACTCTGGACGTCACTCCCTTCACATCTGCCTCCTCCGTGCTGTGGCAGTGGGTCAGAACAGTCCCGTGTTCTCTTCCTGGCACCTCCTCCACAGGACACACTGCAGGCACTCCAGCTGGCCCACGTCCCCCACTTGCCATCAACTGTATTAACAGAAAATCAGATGTGCTCGGTTACGACCTGAAAACGACCAGGTTAAGAAATGACCAGAGAAACTGGATGGAGAGGTGGCTCAGGTGTAAAGCGTGTGCGACTCTTCCAGGGAACCCGAGTTTGGTTCTCAGCACCCAAGTTGGGTGGCTCACAACTGCTTGTAACTCCGGTGCCCCTTCTTCTGACTTTTACAGGTACCCACACTGGTGGCACACACACACACACACACACACACACACACACACACACACACTCCACAAACATAAATAAAAATAAATTTAAAAATATGAGCAGGTCAAACTTTGGTCATGTTAGGGTGAGTGACATTGTTGGTGAGGGCAGATGTTATCAGCTAGTGACATTGTTGGTGAGGGGAGATGTTATTAGCTAGTGATGTTGTTGGGTAAGGGCAGATGTTATTAGCTAGTGACATTGTTGGGTGAGGGCAGATGTTATCAGCTAGTGACATTGTTTGTGAGGGCAGATGTTATTAGCTAGTGACATTGTTGGTGAGGGCAGATGTTATTAGTGACATTGTTGGGTGAGGGCAGATGTTATTAGCTAATGACATTGTTGGTGAGGGCAGATGTTATTAGCTAGTGACATTGTTGGTGAGGGCAGATGTTATCAGCTAGTGACATTGTTGGTGAGGGCAGATGTTATCAGCTAGTGACGTTGTTGGTGAGGGCAGATGTTATCAGCTAAGTGTGGTCTCTGCTCGTCTCACCTGGACAGGGTCTCTCACTGCAGACTTGCATCTGGGTTTCTGCTCCGCTGCAGTAGGCCCCACCAAATGACGGTGGCGGGTTGTTGCAGAGCCTTGTTCTTGTCTGACTGCCTTTCCCACAGCTTTTGCTGCACGCACCCCAAGGCTGCCAAACACTCCACACTCCATGGACTATAAACAACAGAGGCAGTTTCAAGCCACAGAACCGTATTTATTTAAATAACAAAATTATGCAAATAAATTAACTCCATAGTGAGTTAAAAAAAAATCCCACAATCTAAAATAACTAAAGTTGAACCAAAAGAAATATAACTAATGATGTTCTCTTTTTCTCATGTTTGGTTTTCAGAGGGAATTGTGTCCAGGGACATTCAGAAGGCTTAACTAATGCCAAGATAAATGCTTACAATTATTCAAAGGAGGCTATTTTATTAAAATCAAATTTAATCAAGTAACCATATGTAAACAGAACCTGAGTGTTTAAAGACCTAGCTAAGCATTTGTGAACATTTGGTACTCTAGGGAGAGCAGAAGAGACCAGAAGCTTCTAAGCAAGTCTGTTTAACAGATCTAGATATGCTGTGGGTAACAAGACATTTTCAACAATGCTATTTTGGACCCAAGACTGCAAGAGTGCATCTCTAAATGTGGCCTGGCTTCCCACTTCAGTATGTTCTTGGATCTCTCGACAACAGGGTGATTTGCACAGGTCTAAGTCTTTGAACAATTTTCTCCATTACGTAATGTTCATGAACTAGAAATTCTGAATAACACACTCACCTACGTGCTAAACAACAGAAGCAAAACTGACCAGTAGTTTCCAAAGAGCGCAATTAAGAACTTCCTTTTGGTAGCTAACACATTACAGCATCAGACCACAGGACTGGAACAGCCTGCCGCTTCCTACCAGGTGCGTGGGCTGAGAATCAGCACTGTGGGTTCCCTTATGCAAGAGTCAGTATCAGGCCAGATTTCCCTCAAAGAGCTTTCTAGATACGGTGCTCATGAAGTATGCTTCGTTGGTCACTAGCTTTACCAAGGTATGAACCAAAAGTGAGGTGAAGACTTGCATCTAAGTATTCTCAACATAACTTCTAAGAAACTGCAATATTGAAATCAACCAATGAGATTCTAATTTGTCTGGTTTTAAAGAAAATATTAAATATTGCATTTTCTCATAATTAATTGATCTCTGATTAAGGTGGCTACTTATTCTCTTGCTTTGTAGACAGTGGGAAACACAATCGTATGAACCTACTGTACTCAACAAGAGTTTGTCCTCAGACAATACTGACTAACCCCAAGAAGCTGGGAGGGAGCATTGAAAACCACTGTGCGGAGATTATAATGCTCACAGTCCTCACATATCGACTGCATCACTTCAGACGTTCTGCAGACCCAGGGACTTGAAAACAGCCTAATTTCAAGGACGTTAGTTAACCCAAGTCCAAACCTCTGGTAATATAAAAATGCATTATTACAGGAGGCTAGAGCTGACTGGCATTTATTTATGTCATGTCTGTCTTCTTTCTAGTCTACACTACACAAACAGAAGTTTGAAACTCCCTTTGAAAATGTTTTGACTTTTTATATTTAATTCACAAAGAAACCCTAACTAAGATTAGCTTTTATGACATAAGATGGAGTAGAATTGAAAACTTCTTTTATATAGAGAGATAAACAACACAAAAAAAAAGAAAGAAAGAAAATGAGGAAAGATAATGTAAACCAGAGAAAGCATACAGAATCATGATGTTTGGCAGATTCCGAAAACCTCCTAAATAGCCAAACCAATCCACAAAGAAGACACAGAGAAGAACTGCTAAGTAGGATTTCAAACTACAGCCAGTGCATTTGTTATAATAGGTGGAAGCTCTGTGAAGAGCAGCATAGGCCCAGGCCAGGAATAGCCACTCTGGGGAAGCCCTGGGGCCGGAGGGCGCTCAGTCCTTATGGGCTGTGCAATTCTCGGCCAGTGGCTTAGCTTCTATGTGTTAAGCTTCAATACTCAGGGTGCACTGAATCTTCTGAAACCAAATCCAGGATATTTTGAGCATAATAATAGATAAATTAGTGGTGTATTATGAACCCCCTGAAAAATACTTGTGTAGATGTAACCAACCGTCTTATTAAATAAGAAACACAGAAACAATGTAAAAGAGAAAGCTGAGAAGTCAGAGCTCAGAGCTAAAATCTCACCCTTCCTCCTGCTGTCCCAGCTTCGCGAAAAGAGACCTACTTCCTGTCGGTTCGTATTTTTAAAGTAT